CCGCGCCGGGGCGCCTTCGGTTTGCGGCTGTGCTTTCGCGGGGGGCCGGGAACACGCGTGGGACAGAGCCGCCGCGACGGGTGGGCGGCAGGCGGCGGCCCGAGGGTGCGGGGCCTTAGGTGAACTCCGGTAAACCCCATTTCCACGCGGAGCGATGCCGGCATCCCCCGGCCGGGGCAAGCCGGGAGCCACCCGCGCTTAAAGACTTGCACGGCCCGATGCGGTGGCCGGGGTGGGGGCTCTGCCCCAGGCACAGCTCGGGTTTGTGTCCCAGCCGGTGTAACGTGGTCCCGGAAAGCCGGGCTCGTTAAACCCAGGCGCTTTCCCAGCGGCGGCAGCGGATTTGGCGGCTCCCTGCAGGCGGGGAGCGCAGATGCATCGTCTGCAGCCGCCGGGCCGGGGATGTGGATTTCCAGGATGTCGGGACAGGTGACGACAGCGCTGTCACCCAGGCTCGGCTGTGGACATGCCCTTGCTCTCCCACCCACCCGGGGAGGGGGCCTCACGGCTTCGCGGCGCCTAGGTAAAACACACCGGCGGGGACGGAGAGCCACGGGCTGAGCTGCCGGCCGCAATTAGAGAAATAGCCCCCCAGCAGCTGTCCCTAACGCCCGAAGCCCGTTTCCACAGCCGGGGGATGCCCACGGCGGGGCGGGGGGGGCGCCGGGGGGGGGGGGCCCCCCCGGCGCGGCGGCTCTCCCCGGGCAGTCTCTTCTCGGCAGGAGAAAAACAGCCAAAGCACTTTACACCGTTCGGTAAAAGCTTCGAGCCCCTTCCGTGCCACCTTGCTTTTTCCTATTTGTTTGCCTGTTGGCTATTTCATGCCGAACTAGCACGTATGACCTTTCCAGCACAACTCTCGTCTTGTTTTCGACTCTTCTATCAGCCGATTCAACTTGAAAATGGTTATCATTTAGCAGAAAAACAAACAGAAAAGCACATTTTTGTAAGCAAAACGTTAATGATTGGAAGAATTGCACCAATTTCAGCTTGACAGTGTGTGATTAATCCTCCGGGTCAGGTACTTATATTTTTAGTCATTAGGTTCGTCGGCCTTTGATATGCAGAACTGTTTCTAGCCTAATAGGATATCGACCCAGCCGCCTATGTACTTTGACTCCTTAAACAGCGCGGCTCCCCG